ATGCCTGGGCCTCTGGGGCGCCTGACTCATCTGAGAGGCTCCTCCCCTGTCCCTGTGAGAACGCACCTGTGGCTCCTCCCTGGGGTCCTGACCGCCGGGGACGCAGCCCTGGGCCTCTGAGGGCTGCCCGGGGAAGGGACCTGTGTGAACAGTGTCCACACGGTTTAAACGTTAGGATGACCTGGCCGATCCTTGTGCACAAACACAGGGAACAGGAGTGGTGACCTGCAGCCCACAGCCCGCCCACCCCTGGACTTTGTGGGGCCCCTGACACGTGGTCTGTGGCCGCTTTCGCGGGACAAGGCCAAGTTGAGATACTGGGACAGACATGTGATCCCCAAAGCCTACGGTGAGGGTTGTCCCAGGCAGAGGGGCGCCGGTCGGAGCTGGGAGAGGAGGCGGGGTCTCGGTGGGGACAGGTCCTGGGCTCGCAGGGGTGGAGGGCTGGCTCTGGGAAGGGTGCTGAGCAGGCTCCTTCGAGCAAACAAACAAACAAACAAACAAACGAGCCAGAGCAGCCGGAGGGCTTTAAACAAACGAGTAGATGCACACGTTCCCCCTGTGACCACAATTTCACTTATTCATTGACTTTAAGTTTCTCAGAAAAGTCTGACTGTCTTATATTTTAATTTTTAAAAAATATATTTTTATTGATCTCAGAGAGGAAGGGAGAGGGAGAGAGAGATAAAAACATCAACGATGAGAGAGAATCATGGATCAGCTGCCTCCTGCACACCCCCTACTGGGGATCAAGCCTGCAACCAGGCCATGTGCCCTGACCAGGAATCGAACCATGACCTCCTGATTCATAGGTCAACGCTCAACCCCTGAGCCACGCTGGCCGGGCATCCATTTTAATTAGAATTTCACCTAAATCTGATTCCATTGGTGAGTGTGGAACCGTTGTCTGGGGTTATCACAGTTCTTGAGGTTGCAGGCCACAGAGCGCGTGTGGTCATGCGGGCCAGGATTCAGCGCCAGCTTTAACCAGGTCAGAGCACGCTTCTATTTTCCGGCTCAGAAAGTGGGTGATCACTCGCCTTAATGAAAGGGAACCTGCTATGGAGCTCAGTTTGAAATCTAGGCAGACATCCCCCCCTGGGACACGTGCTTGTGACAAGCAAATGGCCGTTTCCTGACTTTTGTACCAAGAAAAATGAGGATTTGCAGATTGAGCTACACGCCACACTCATAAAAAGAGTGTAGCTGTTGAGGCTGGCTTTGAGTTATCACTGAACCAAAAGGCATTTCAGGGCAATAAGTGCTTTTTCTTCCCCTCGCCGACTCGAAGCCGGGCTGCTTGTTTTCACATTTGGTATAAAGAATGCCAGCGTCCTCGCCCGGCGCCGCCCGCGGGAGCCCCGTGCTGTGTTCGGGCTGATTCACAGGCCCCGGGAGGCTGCCTGGAAAGATCTCTTGGTTCCAACGTCCTGATTGTTTCCTGAGTTCTCTGTGCCCGACGAGGACAGTCAGCACTCCACAGGGACCGTGATGCAGGCCGGCCTCTCTGAGACCTGCCCCCTGTGCATAGTTCATGGTCAGTGCCCCAAACCTCAAACTCTCCGGAAAGCCCCTCCCCCCAGGCCCCTGTGGTTTGCTCGTTAAACCAGCGGCAGACGCTGAAAGGAGCTCCCCTTCGCTTAGGGAGAAACTGTTAAAAACGAAATGAAATCATTGAAAGTGGCATCGAACAGCAACAACAAGCCCACTCACTGGAGGGTCCTTGATTTTCAACTATGAACTTTTTAATGAGAACATGTTAGAAAGAAGGACAGTGAAACGAATGAAAAACCATCTCCATCAAGACATGGTGGTCACAGGAGTCCCCTCGATGCTGTAGATGGAGGAGCACCCGCGTGAGTTCAGCTGCCTTGGAACCAAGCCTTCACTGCATGTGCCCTGACGGAATTGAACCCTGACCTCCTAGTTCATAGGTCGATGCTCAACCCCTGAGCCATGCTGGCCGGGCTGGGGATATGTTTTTATGTTATTTTTTTTTAGAGAGAGAAACATGGATTGGTTGTCTCCCACACTTGCCCCCACCAGGGATTGAATGCACAATATCTTGGTGTATAGGATGATGCCCAACCAACTGAGCCACCCAGCCAGGGAAACATCCTATATAATAAAAGGCTAATATGCAAATCGACTGAACTGTGTAACAACCGGTCACAATGATGCGCACTGACCACCAGGGGGCACTGACCACGCAGGAGCTGCCCCCTGGTGGTCAATGTGCTCCCACAGAGGGAGCGCCACTCAGCCAGAAGCTGGGCTCACAGCGGGCAAGCACAGCGGGGGTGGCAGGAGCCTCTCCAGCCTCTGTGGCAGTGCTAACAATGTCCGATTGTGGCTCAGGATCACTCCCGCAGGAGGCTGTGAAGGGGCGCAGGCCACGGTTAAGGGACCCCCTGAGTGCACGAATCTCATGCACCGGGCCTCTAGTGGTTTTATATTAAAGTGTTCAACATGAAATTTTATATTCATGGCCTGAAGAGGCAGCGGCTTTCTAATTGTGACATCACACAGATACACATCGCGCAATGGCGGTCTTCCTGTTGACGTCCTCGCTCGAGGTCTTTCAATATCTTCGGTCAGATGACTTATTCGTGTTCTCCGGGCAGAACAGTGTTCAGATGGATTGAAGGCAAGAACGTTAACAATGACAGATGTTCTTGTGCTGTTGTCTTCCTTCTTTTTAAAGACTTATTTTCTCAAAGAAAAAAATTAAACATCAATTTTTAAAAATAAGTGTTTGAGGGAGAAGCCCCCACCCGTAATGAGGGAAAAGCAGGCCTCTGTGTGGGTGGAATTGCGTTCCAGACGGCGTCCCAAACGCCATCCCTACTAGGGACGTTCCTGCCAGTTTCACATCTCAGAGGACGGAGAGCGGCTGATTTTAATAGAGTGAACTTTCAATGTCCCCTCCAAGCATCCCCTTCAAATACCACGCCATTGGCTCCGTCCCTTCCGGGGCTGATGGCTTAATCCCTTCCCACCAGGAAGCCACACGCCCGTGAAGTCACACTCCTGAAATGTGCGAATACAGATACAGACATTTTAAGAATCAAATATATGCTTTCAAAGGAGCTAAATCCCATTCGTTCCTAAGCATGGTTAAGGAAGCAGGCTTTTATGTATCTCACTGATAGGCGAGAGGAAGCTAAGTCGGCATCTAATTCCTTTCCGTCGGACAGAGAAGCGGAACATTCGCGGCTTTGTGAGCAGGCCAGCATTCTCTGGTCTGAGCCCAGGCTGCCAGTCAGCGCCGGACCCGCGTCTCCAAAGGGCCCGAGGTCTCCGGGCTCGTCTCCATCTCGCTCCAGAGTCTGAGGCGTGGAGCGTGTCTCTGTGACCTCAGGAGGCGGCGAAGAGAAAGCTGGTTTCTGTGCCCAGGGGCTGGGAGGTGAACCTCTGCGATGCGTCCCTGGGAAAGCGAGCGTCTGACCCTCTGCAGGGAGGGGAGCCGGGTCCTCTGCCGAGACCCCTGCAGCCGGAAACCCCTGGGTCCTCGCCATCGCCATCGAGGTGTGTGGCTTCTGCTCCTGGTTCCCCTCCCCCTCGCTCCCCAGGAAATGACACCTTAATGCCAAGTGCGTGTTCTCTGAGGGAGACCCCCAGGGAGACTGGGACAGGAGCACGTTGCGCTGACAGTGCGGGAGGCGAAGGCATTGCCTGCCTCCCTGGCTCAGGTCCCTGTGGTGCCCACACGTGCGATTCTGCACCTGCCAGAGGGAGGGGCGGAGGGTAGCCTGGGAGGGGCGCAGGCGCAGCGTGAGGGCTGAGCTCAGGCGTCGTTCGTGGCCACGGGCCCTGAGCTTCGTCCAAACGCTGCTCCAGATGTTGCTGTGTAGACTTTCTTTTTTTTAAGAATCTGCTTAAAAAAATATGTTTATTGATTTCAGAGAAGAAGGGAGAGGGAGAGAGAGAATCCCTGATCGGCTGCCTCCTGCACGCCCCACACTGGGATCGCAAGAGGCAGCCGATGGATGATTCTCTCTCTTCATCGATGTTTCTCTCTCTCTCCCTCTCCCTCTCTGAAATCAATACAAATACATTCAAAAGTCTTACGCTTATTGTTTTCTCTTAGAATCTCGACCTGCCTACCCCGTTAGGAGCATAGCCTAGATGAGGATTGGAGGTGGGACAGTCACAAGGCGTTTTCATGAGTTGGAGAGACACCAAGGCTTATCTCAGAGGCAGGGATGGGTTGGAGGCAGAATCAGGGGTTGTTTTTCTTTTTAATTTTTATAAAAATATTTTTATCGCCCTAACCGGTTTGGGTCAAGGGATAGAGCATCAGCCTGTGGACTGAAAGGTCCCAGGTTCGATTCCGGTCAAGGGCATGTACCTTGGTTGCGGGCACATCCCCAGTGGGGGGTGTGCAGGAGGCAGCTGATCGATGTTTCTCTCTCATCGATGTTTCTAACTCTCTATCCCCCTTTCTTCCTCTCTGTAGAAAGTCAATAAAATATATAAAACTATTTTTATTGCTTTCAGAGAGGAAGAGAGAGAAAGATGGAAACATCCATGATGAGAGAGAATCATGGATTGGCTGCCTCCTGCACAACCCTTAGTGGGGATTGAGCCTGTAACCCAGGCATATGCCCTGACCGGGAACTGAACTGTGACCTCCTGGTTCATAGGCCGATGCTCAGCCACTGAGCCATGCCGGCCGGGCAGGAGTTTTTGATGACACAGACGTGCGTGAGGGCGAGAAGGAGACGCACAGATGAGCCTCAGGTTTCCTGCGAGTGAGCCCGTGGGCGGCTGATCATGAAAAGGGGAAACGGTGGAAGACAATTTGGAGAGAAAGAGCAGGAACACCATCCGGTTTGGGACCGTGTTTGAGACGCCCCTGGCGTCCATGTCGCTGTGACACGGGCCTGGGTGCGTGCTCTGAACTGGGATTCCGTGTCGAAGATTCGCTCCCACACGAGCGGCTGGCTGTGTCCCCCGAACCCCAGGCTGTGTCTTCCCGTGGGTTTCACATCGGGTGAGGCTGATGCTGCGTCCTGAGCGGCTGGCGGTCAGTGGTGGTCCCTCGGCCCATCCCAAGCACCTTGGCTCCCTCCGCAGCCAGGAGCCTGTAACCCAGGCAAGAGGTGCTTGGGAGCAAGTGTTGCCCAGCTTATTAGGAGCTTTTAGTCAAACAGGGACATGGGTCAGGCCGTTCCTCGCATTGCCATGGAGAAGGCTGCGGTGGCCACGCCAGGCTCGCACGGAGGCCTGGCTGTTTAATCGGCGCTGACTTGGCCCGGGACGTGGAAACGGTCTATAAATAATGGATACACAAGCGGAGGGCAGGCCGGGAGTTATTTATGAGCCGCCTCGGCGATCAATCTCATAAACCTGTGTCTGAACAACTCGCCGTATTAGTCAATGTCAGAGAGAAATTAAATCACTTAGGCGATTAGAGGGCAAAGTGACTGAAATAGGTTGGAATTACGTAAAGTGAGCGAGGACCTGGATAAAGTTCATTCCCCAGTAACTACGGCGACAATATGACACAATACCGGGGGAATCATTTGCAAAACACATGCTTTGTCTTTAAAGAAATTGTTCACAATCTATAATGAGGCCGTGGAGATGGGGCCATTTCTCTCAGGTGTAAACCATGTCCAGGAAGGTTGTCTGACAGTAAGTCACACAACTGCACCCCCCAGGCCTCCTGCCTGCACACCAGTCTGTGCACCGCGCCCTGTGCGTGTGGTCTGTGTGCGCTCGTGCCTCACACGCACCGTGTCGGTGTGCACATGGCTCGCTGTCCACACATGTGCACTGGACACGGCTGTGATTGTGTGTGTGTGTGTGCGTGTGCTCACGCCTCACATGCACTGTGTCGGTGTGCACACAGCTCACTGTCCACACATGTGCACTGGACACGGCTGTGATTGTGTGTGTGTGTGTGTGTGTGTGTGTGTGTGTGTGTGGTCTGTGTGTGCCCGCACCTCACATGCACCGTGTCGGTGTGCACATGGCTCACTGTCCACACATGTGCACTGGACACGGCTGTGACTGCATGTGTGTGTGTTGGGGGGAAGGTGTGCAGGAAACATGATATCTTATTTGGGGAATGATGTTGTTAATAGTACTCAATGTGCCCATACTTCAATTTTAAATTCAAATGTATAAGTTTCAGTATTGATTGGACAAGAACATGAAGGTGGGAGGCAGTTTGCCGGGAAACTTTGGGCGACACTCAAGTCTTTGTGGGTACTTTCCTGATCCTTCTATCAGCCCACATGACAGGAAATCATGTAATATTCCCTCAATAATGTAGTGGGCCTCTGACCTTCTCAGTCCCGCTCGAGGGCGCCCTCACCTCCCTCCTAACTGTGCGCCCCAACGCTTATCTCTCATTTATCAAATTCCCTTTCGTGGGGAACGGACTCTGCCCTCCGCAGCTGGTGCGGGCCGCGTGCACTGTGACTCCTCAGGGCTCGGCGGCCGCGCGGGTGCGGTGGGGGAGCACCCTGGCTTGGAGAGCCTCATCCTCGGGGCTCCTCGTACGGGGACCGCGTTGTCAGCAGGGGCTGGACCATGCACATGGACGCTGGACGAGCCGAGGAACATGCTGGCCTATCTGAGAGGCCTGGGGCGTCCCCTGGACGGGAGCTGGGGGACCTCCCTGACTCTCTCAGTTGTAAATGTGAGCCTGGGGCCAGGTGGCTGTGCACTTTCTGAAAAGAAGCGAAGACCTAAAGCTGCACTGGTGAGAAGCAGGAGGCGCGAGGCACAGGGCCGGGCAATGGTGGGGCTACATTCCTTCCACGAGGGAGCGACACGCTGTAATCTCAGGGGAACAGGACGCGTGGCTGCTCCGGGCCCTATGCCTGCTGCGTCGGAGCCGAGCAAGAGGCCGGGCCAGCACCCCCCCTGCACAGCCTCCTCGGGGGAGCTGCGGCCTCGGAGTAGCCCCTGCTCCCGCGTGAAAGCTGATGGGAGGGGCATGTGCTGAACTACATGTTCTCAGACACGTATGCACACATGGCCCCCAGGGAGAGTCCTGTGTGAGGACGCTGCTTCCCAGGCATGCGGGCTCCTGCCTTCCACGACAGGAACCACCTCCGCTCCAATCATAGGGTGTTTCTCTGCAGTGAATCGCCCCCCGCCCCCCAGCTGCCCTGGAGGTGGGCTGACCCCGTGTGCGGCCCCAGCCACGGCCCATCACGGCCAGCGATTCCTGTAAGACACGCATGAGCCTGCAGGGCAGGTTCTCAAAGATGTTCCCGATGAGAGGGAGGGAGTGGGTTCCCAGACGCTACGGGTGTCGTGGACACGGAGGAGAAGGCTCGGGTTAAAGCAGATGGTCAGCGACACAGCTGCGGGGAGGGGTGTCCTCATGTCTGGGTGCCGGCGTGTTTCTCTGTTTCCCCTGGTGACCAGGGCTGTGGTGAGAAACAGAAGGCTGTGCCCTAACCTCTACGTGTCCACAGCAGCTCCCTGGTTGTGGACGTGGGAGACTCCCTGTGTGCTGGGGCTAGTCCGTGGTCAGGCAGTGGCTGACGAACGTCTTCTCCGCTGTGACCTGTGGTTTCCCCTCGGCGCAGGGCTTCGGGTAGAACACGCGTTTAGTCTTGTGAAGTTCACTATCGTTTTTCCTCTAATCAACTGGGCTCTTGGCGTCCAGGCTAGAACATTTTGCCGACTCCTAGGTCCCAGGTTCTCCCCCCAGGTTTGTGGAGTGACCTTTTGCAACTAAGTCCGCCATCCACTTCGGCTTAACTGTGTACGGCGTGAGGCCGGGGCGCATGCGCACAGAGACGGCCCAGAGCTGCCCCTGGCCCAGCATCCGTCATGGAAGCGATGGAGAGTGCCCTCTCCTCCATCGATTGCTTTTCACGTCGGAGGACAGTCCTGGGCGTGTCTGCGTGGAGGTATCGGTGCGTCTCCATTCTGCCCCCTTGACCTGCGGGCCGGCTCCTTGGTGACACCACAGGCTGATCTCCGTAGCCCCTCAGTAATACGGCCTGCAACACAGCAGCTGTGTTAGTCTTTAGTCCCATTTTATCCTTCTTTTTCAAAATTGTCTGAGCTCCTATAGCTCCTGTCTTCCTGTATATACTGTTGGGAAATCTCAGCTACGTTCTGGCCTGGCCACTGACTGTTAAACGTTCTGAATGAAAATATTCAGCGAAACAGATGACAGCACCCGCGGGAAGAGAAGGAGGCCGGGCAGAGGGGCTCGTGTCCACACGAGATTCTTGCTCCGGCTTCCGCACCTGGGGCGTGTCAGAGGGTCCTCCAGGTGACGCCACAGGCCGAGCCGGCCAATGGGATGTGGGTCTCAGGGACTCACACCAAGTCCAAGCCCAGCTCACTAGGGACTTCCTGTTGGGCCGTCCATGCCCTTTCCTGCTCCTGATTGGCTGGAGTAAGGCCAACCCCGTTGTTACGATTCGAGGAACCACATGTGGCAGGTGGAGCGCAGACCCACCAACCAGGAGTCACAGTTCGATTCCCAATCGGGCACATGTCCAGGTGGCGGCTCGGTCCCAGCAGGGGGCGTGCAGGAGGCAGCCGATCCGTGACTCTCTCTCCTCATTGATCTCTCTCTCTCTCCCTCCCCCTTCCTCTCTGAAATCAATAAATAGAGGAAAGAGAAAGCGCCTGATGGACAGAGCCCGGGCGCCGATCTCTGATGGAGCCAGGATGCTGTTCTCCAGGACTTTAAACCTCCCATTTAGCAGACAAACATTTCGTCTTCGTACTTAAGTGCAGGCATTCATCTTTTCCCAACCCACACGCAGGCCGCGGCCAAGTCCTCCAGGGTGAGCTCCCACACGAGCTTATAAATAAGTAATAGGGCTTGTTATCGATTAAGGACCGTGAATGGAGGGCCTGTCGCTGTGATGAAGAAACATTGGGCAGATCCAGCCCGAGTCTCTGGTCAGAGCGTTGGGAGTCTCAGTCAGTCTACCCCCCGTTCCCCGGAGAGACCGATCTGCAAGGAACGGCGACTGAGGCAGCTGAGAGCACAGCCCTCGCCGCCCAGACCTGTGTCCATGCCGCACGGTCAGAGGGACGGTGCTGCCTGGGCTTCGGGTGGACCTGGCCCCGCAGGCCCCGCGCTGGTCGGGTGGCGATTTCTGCGGTGCCGGTGCCTGGGGCGGTCATGGTGCAAAAGTGTCCAGGTCAGCACTGATGAATTTGGCAGTCATGTTTGTTCTAGAGAGAAACTGCACACCTGACTCCGAAGCAGGTACGGAGGGAGCACGGAGAGCCCTGAGGAGCGGCAGAGGTTGGGGCGGGCAGTTCCGGGCCAGGGCAGAGGAGGTTCTCCATCAAAAATGGAAGCTGACTGTGAACGCAAAGTGATTTCCCCTCTTTTGAAAGGAATGGAAGCCGTTCCTCTGTAACACATATGCCAGGGGGGATGGGGAAGGGATGGCATCCGTGTCAATAGGGATAGAAGTTTCAGGGGAGGAGGCCGCCCCTCCCAGTGGCACCTTGCTTCGCCCTGGCTCTGCCACCTTCATTGCGCTGCCTCCCTCTGAGACCCGTGGTCCGGTCCGTGCCGGCCTCCCTGTGAGACCCGTGGTCCGGTCCGTGCCGGCCTCCCTGTGAGACCCGTGGTTGGTCCGGGCCTCCCTGTGAGACGCATGGTCCGGTCCGTGCTGGTCCCCATGTGAGACCCGTGGTCCGGTCCGTGCTGGCCTCCCTGTGAGACCCGTGGTCCCGTTCGTGCCGGCCTCCCTGTGAGACGCATGGTCCGGTCCGTGCTGGTCCCCATGTGAGACCCATGGTCCAGTCCGTGCCGGCCTCCCTGTGAGACGCATGGTTGGTCCGGGCCTCGCAATGAGCACCAGCGACAGGGTGGGCTGGTTCTGTCCACCGGGCAGCCCTGTCCGCTCAGAGCCCACAGACCCTTCAGTTCGTATGGAAGTCCCTGTGCCCGGGGGCCAGCTCGACGCCCAGGTCCTGCTGAGGGAGAGAAGCAGGCGGGTCATTCTCTGCTTACTGGGGAGAGGAACACACTTGTGAAATCAGGGGCCTTCGGGGTGCCCACGTGACGTGCTAATCGCCTTGAGAGGAGCATCTCCGCAGAGGCCGCCTCTACAGAAACGGATGATGTAGAGGCCCCGGCTCCTCCCCGGCTCCTCCCCGGCTCCT